AGGTTGTGCTTCAAGCCGGATGGCATCGCTTGGCATCACCCTTACCTGTTCATTATTGGGAGATCGGCAGCGTTCCCCTCCCTCGTCCTGCCTCCCAGTGAATTCCCAAACAGGCCAGGATGCGAAGCCCACATCCTGCCATCTTGGCTTGCCGATGACCCTGGCTGTGGGTCTTGAAAGGAAACGCCTCCCCCCCCCCCCAAGACCCACCGGAGACATCGAACTTGGCTCTCTGCAGAGCGTCGAAGACACGGTTCCTCGGCTGCAGCTCAGAGAACATGGACTCCAGTCGAGAGATGCAACAGGCGTCTCTGGGGGTCGCCTTGCCGGCTTCGACGGCCATGTTCACACAATCCAGCAAGATGGTTCCTGGCGGGGCAAAAACACTAGGGTTCAAGGAGTCCCCCCCCCCTTCCGCACGATCTTCCCTGGGTGCCCTTTTCCCGACGGCCAAAGCGCAAGGTTTGGGGTGAACACCAGATTTCGCCCTCACCGTACAGCAGAGCGGCAATTTGGCTGTCCAAAGTTGGCACCCGTGCCTGGAGGAGCCTCTCGGTCACCAGGGTGGTGCAGGAGCCCACCAGCTCGACCGTCACTTTGCAGGGAGGGCGCCTCTCCCACTCCAGGGGCCGGTGGTCCACCACCTCCACCACGGCCGCCTCCAGCGCAGAGTCCTTGCTGGGAAGAGAGAGGAAGAGGTGGTCATAAGGGTGCCCCGTCCCGTGAGCAGCTGCCCAGAGGGGCTCGCCTGAAGTTGGGGGACGTTTTTAGGAAGAAGGAGGGGGGAGAACAGCTGGGGGACTTTGGGCATCAAGGAGTCCTCGACCTAGGACTCCAACTGAGCTGAACATTTCAGTTGCGAAGCAAGACGTTCATTAAATCGAGTTTTTGACCTGCTTGACGATTTTTCTGGCCATTGTTGTTAAATGGATCCCTGCGGTTTGTTGAGCTAGGAACCTGGTTGTTAAGTGAAATCTGGCTTCCCCGCTGGCTTTGCTCGCTGGACGGGTCGCAAAAGGGGACCCCGTGATCCCGGGACCGTCATAAATACGAATCGGTTGCCAAGTGCCTGAATTTTCATCACGCGACCAGTGGTCGTTACGTGTGGAAAAACGGTCCTCAGTCGCTTTTTCCAGAGCTGTTGTCAGTTCAAACAGCCGCTAAAGCAACATCGTAAGTCGGGGAATGCCTGTGTGTTGTTTCTGCTGGTCCGAATGGCCTCCGAACCAGCTAACGAGAGATCTCGCTGGGATCTTGAGGGATCCACCCCCCACCCCACCCCCAGCTCTCTCCGTCATGGCTCACTGGATCTCCAAACCGGAGGCCGAGGTCCAACGGATGGGCCAAGCAGCCCCGCTCTGCGTGGGGAGGAGCCCACCTGGGCAGGACGTGGTGGTCCACCAGCGTCAGGGTCAGCAGCCCGGCCTTATGCAGCCCCGCCAGGTCGATCTCATCCCGGAAAACGAGGTCTTTCTCAGGGATACGCTGCTGCAGGAGGAGGAAGGTGGTCTCGGTGCGCAGCGGGAAGTCCGCCCGGGGGATATTGAGGACAGGGACGAAGGCTGCCCTGGAGTCCGGAGAGGTCTGTGGGGGCCACAAGAGCATCGTGGGAAACCCTGCCCAGGAAAGGTTCCCCTCACAACCCCCTGCTAGTCGTTCCCGGCTCTAGGGGGCGCTGCTCCTCTCCGTCACAAAGCAGAGGGGGCTGGCAGGGGGGCTTCGGAGAGGCATAAGAAGCGAGCGAGGTGGGGGAGGGGCAGCCAGGGGGTCCAGGATCAGGCCCAAGGCACCCTAGCAAGAGGGGAAGAGCAGGGCGGCCCATCCAGAGGCTGACCTTTGCCAAAAAATAGGCGAGGACCAAGGTGGACACCGTGGAGTCGAGATCGCACGCTTCATTGCCCATCACCACGTGGATAGCCTCTCCGCTCTGAGAGTGATCCTGCCAGGGGACAAAGGAGGAAGTGAAACGAACCCAGCCACAGCTGAATTCGAGGGGAAAATCAGGATGAGAAAGGAAGAAAAACTCGGGTGAAAAACATCCGCGTTCGGCTCTCAAGAGGTCCACTTTTTCTGAATTAACTCGCTTTGAGATTAGAAGTGGAGGCGGTTTATTTTTATTTTTAATTCATCGAGGGGGGCTTGTAAGAGAGGTGCCCCCTTTAAATCCCATTTTGCCAGACATTTGGGAGCCCTAAAAAGCTCCCCCCTCTCCCTCTTGGCAAACAAACCCTGGTTTCCCAGCACCAGCAGAATGTAGGGCAACGTCAGCCGATAAGCCACCTTCAGATCACCTGAGGCTCAAAAGGTGGGATGGGGCCAGGTGTAGCGGGAGTGGCAGATGGAGGAGGGGCAGACCAGATATTAAAATGGGGGGGGGGGGGTTTAAAGTGCTAAAGAGGGAGGGCAGGAAGGGCCCAACAGGAAGGGCTGCCCAGGTAGAAGCCACCTGGGCAAGCAAAGTTAAGGACCGTGCTGCTTAACAACGGGGTTTCTGGTGTGGCCGTAACCCGAGGAATATCTGTATGAAACGTTCTGGACCTTCGGGCAAAATGTACGTCTTAAGACTTAGAGCCGGGGGGGGGGGGGGGTTGAAACCTCCCAGACTTCACCTTTTAAGATGGGTGAACTTCAACTCCCAGAATCCCCCCCACCGCCCAGGCAGCAGCAGGAGGAATTCTGGGAGTTGAAGTCCCTCGGTCTGAAAAGCGGCCCACGGGATCATTCTGGTGCAGAGGGCCATCCGGAAGCGCTGTCCAGGTTGGGAGGGTTGTCCAGTCGGGTCCGGAGAGCCACAAGATCAGGCCCCTCCGGCCAGGCGTGGCTCTGCACCCCCCCCCCCCCCCGTGGCCTGTGTGCCAGGGAGGATGCCAAGCCGACGGGCACAAGCAGCTGAGTCACCCAGCTCCAGGGAACACAAGACGGTGAATCACCCGCAGACGGAGGTCAAAAGAAGGCTGGGGAAGCGGGTCAATTCCGCCCCCCCAGGCTGGGCTGGAAAAAGCTCGCCCCGCCCCAGGCAGGGTTCGAATCCTGCCCATGGCCCCAGCCTTCTTCTCACTCCCCCACGGCCCCCACCCAAAGCCTGGCAGGGCGGGGACATTCATATTGCTGGCAGTCTCCACCTCCTTAGCAGTGGGCGGGGATGATGGGAGCCAGGTCCTGCCCGTGGAAGGGTGGTGGGCGGGGATGATGGGAGTTAGGTAAGGTTGGATCAGGAAATAAACTAAAGCGAAATAAATGATGGGAGCCAGGAGTCGCAGGAGAGGAGGGTGTGGGGATGATGGGAGTCGGATCCTGCCCGTGCTGCAGGGGAGGGCAAGGGGCGGGGACTCAGAATCATTCTGTAATGTAAACCAAGTGGAGCTGCCAGGAGCGGCTGGGGAGGATGGGAGCTAGAGTCCAGCACTCCCAAGAAGTGATAGATGGGAGTCAAAGCGGTCCAGAGCAGGTGGGGGATGCCAGGAGTGGCTGGGGAGGATGGGAGCTAGAGTGTGGCCTCCTCGGGAGCGGTGGGTGGGGATGATGGGAATCGGATCCTGCCCATGTCCAAGCAGAGAGTGGGGGTTGATGGGGAGTCAGGCTGGCAGAGGAGCCCAGCAGCGGCTGGGGATGATGGGAGCGAGCAGAGTCCCCGGGGAGCGGACGATGGGGCTGGTAGTCCTCCCGGAGGGAGGCGGTGGGGGTACCTGAAGAGCGGCCCTGCAGCCTGCCAGGAAGCGCTCCATGGCTCCGGACAGCCTCGGACCCCTCCCCACAGCCCGGCCGCACGTGTGAACGGAGGGCTCGCCGGGACACGTGTCACCCCGACCTCCTTTCGGGCGGGCGGCGGGAGGGGCCAGAACAGCCGTGCCTGATTGGCCGGCGGGGAGGCGGGAGGGCGCGGCTTCACCCGCCGCTCTGCGCAGGCGCCGGGAGGTCGCCCCGCCTCCTCCGCCTCCTCCCAGCTGGCGTGAAAAAAAGAGAGAGGGGGCGTGGCCGAAGCACGCGCTTTCCCGGCTACGTCACCGCGGCCGAAGGCGGCTTTGCCTACCTTGCAGGGCGGGCGGTAAGCGGTGGTTGGGGCGGGGGGAGCTGTTCCCGCGTGGAAACGGGTTTAATGCAGCGTGCACGGTCGTCCGAACGTGCATGTTTAACACGGGGTTTCTCCGCGGCTGGGATTCGCTGGGCTTGGGCAAGTTTTCGCGCAGCCCTGCAAGCCGGAGAGCCCGGGGCATAAAGTTGGTGGTGGGGGGGGGGGGCGACCGGGCGGGAGGGGCCTCTGAGCCCCCGGGACCCCAAGCCCCTCCCGCTCCAATCTGGGCTTCCGCGCGATCCGGGACTTCTCAAGAGTTCTGGAGGCTTCGTGGCCGCTTCCTCACCCCTTCATCCTGCGCCCGTTTGGCCCCCCGGGTGTGGGGGCGGGGCGGGAGGGGAAGCTCCCGAGACCCCAAGGGCCCCTCCGGAGGGGCCGCCCCTCGAAGCCCAACAGGGAAAGCCTTGCACGCCCCCCCCCCCCCCCCCCGAGGAACCGTGTGGCAGGTTGCAATGGGGCTCCCCAGCCTTTGCAAGGCGGCGGGGGCTTCTTCCCACCAGCTCCCGTGCAAGTGGGGCAAACTCCCCCCCCAAAAAAAGCCCCTCCCCTCCCTCCAGAAAGATTTGCGCCTTTCCTGACCCCCCCTCCGATGGAAGGCTCTCCTCCTCCTCCTCCTCCTCCTCCTTCCCTGGCTGCAACTTTGTTTAAATTGGCTTTTTATTCTTTTTCTCTCTCGGGGGGCTACAGAGTTTCCTTCCTTCCTTTGTTTTCTTTCCTTCCGATCCCTCTTTTCTCTCTCTCCCCCCACCCCCCACCCCCCTTTCCCGGCTTCCCTACAACGCCCCGGCGCTGCGGTGCCTCCTCCTCTCCCATAGATGTCCCTGCAGAAGGGCGAGAGGCTGGGCAGAAGCAACCCCAGCTGGGTGGTGGGGTGTGTGTGTCTGTGTCTGTCTGTGTTTTTTTCCCCCTCTGCCAGGCTGGGATCCTCCCAGCCTCGGCCTAACGCAGGGGGGGCGGGAGGGGGGGGGTGGCAAGAGGAAAGGAAAGAGAAGAACAGGCTGGACGGTGCAAAAAACAAACAAAACAAAACCCCAACAGGATTTATGCCCAGAAGGATCTAAGCAGGAAAATCCAGGTATGGCGTATTTGAGTCCTTCTTCAGTCTTCAAAGCTTTCCTTCTCTTTGCTGGAGTAGAACGGGGGGATTCGAATCCAGACCCGAAGCTTTGGAGGGGGGGCTCCTTTGTGCGTAGGTTATGCACCCGCCACCTCGCTTTCCGGATTCTCCTCCCTGGCACCAGCTGTGTTGGTTGGTGTTAAAGACCCCAGTGGGGGGGGGGTTCATCCAGCTGTGCCTCTGCCCCCAGGGTTGGGGAGGGGGGGCAATTGAGGCGCTCTTTCCCACCACCCCCCCAAAACCAGAAAGGGGAAACGGTGGGTTTGACCCAACAAACTGCCTTGTTTTGCAAGCGCACAAAGTGTGCAACAGTTTCCTCGGAAAACAAAGTTTGCGGCAGAACCGAAGGGGCTGCAAACCTCCCAATGGTGTGTGTGTGTGTGTGTGTGTGTGTGTGTGTGAATTTACTGGAAGGGACGGGTGTGTATGTGCCATTTGGGGTGTGGGGTATGTGGGGGAAGAGGTGGAGAGGGATAAAATCCTGTGGCATGGATAACAGGAGAACGGATTGAATTCTTGAGGCGGGTGGTTAGGTTTCCTCTCTCGGTGGCACGTTCAATAAACCTTGCAGAGCGGGTGAGGGGATTTCTGGCTGTGTAGAGCGGGGATCTCAACACCCCCTCCCCCTTTCCCCTTATTTTGCAAGGCTGGGGAGCATAGGTGCTGAAGTCCCCGCTCGGGCAGGCTCCCCGCTCTTAGTGTCTTGCAGGCGGGCCGTGTTTTCAAAGCGAGGAGGTGGGAGCGGAGAGGCCCCAGTGATGAGGAGACGGTTGCATACATCTTTGGGGTGGGCGGCCCTGCCCCTCCCTTCCTCTCCCCTGGCCCCCTCTGGAAGTTTCCAGCTGTTGTTTAAAAGCAGAGAGATGTTTTTGTCAAAATACTGGTTGGGCGGCTTCTTTCTTGCAAAACAGACTGCTGCTTTGTCAGCAGGTAAATCCTTGCATGTACCCAGACACACAAACACACACACACACACACACAGAGTGCCATCAGGGCTGCCGTTTGCCTCATTTGCTTCCTGGGTGCAGCCTGATCTCTTCCAAATGTTCCTGCCGTGGACCTTGCTGGACACAGTTGGCCCAGGAACAGCTGGATGACCTCTGGTCGACCCAGGCCTGTCTCTGGGTGCATTTCTTTGGGCGACAGGAGGAAACACCCAGGGGTGGCGGCACTACACCCAAATCTCCAGGGCAGGGTCCAGAGGTCCAGGCAGGGCTGCAGGGGTCCCGTACAGCTTCAAAAGAGTTTCGTGGACGCTGAATTGTGGACCGTTTTGTGCACAGGTAGTTCTCAACTTACAGCCATCCGTTTAGCGACTGAAGCGACATCAGGACTGAAAAGGGGGCTTAGCACTATTCCTCAACCCCCTTCTGTCTGTCACCGCATTCCCACAGCCATGGGGGTCAACATTTGGGCCCTCTTCCAGGCGAAGAGAGAAAGGCAAGGCAGCAGAGGTGTTGAAAAAAAAAACCCACTTGATTTTCTAACCTTCTTGGTTTCGTTGTCTCTTTTGCTAGGCTCGGGGCCGGCTGGATGTTAAAATCCCTGCATTTTCCACAAATACAAGCCACTGTCTCAACTTTGGGCCATGAAGCTGGAGAAAACTAGATTTCTCGGACGTCCCTTTGCAGAAGAGAAGGCCAAAGCTGACCAAAACAAAACAAGAATCCCCTCCACAGCTTGAAGGACAAAATAAACCACACACACGCGCACACACATAGAAAGGTCAATAAAACACAGAATTTCCATTTCTACTAATCCGTTAAAAATTAATGCCCTGAAAAAGACACTGGGATCTTGGTGTGCGTGCATGTTTTCTCTCTCTCTATATATATACACACTTTTTTTAAAAAAGAAAAGCTTTAAAATATCACCCGTAGAGAAAACTCATCACCTTTTTAATGCTATTTTTTAAAATTTCACGAGCATAAATTTATTTTATTGTAAGGATAGCTTTGATTTTTTTTTTTTTCATAAAAAGCAAAAGCATTTTGTATTCCTTTTTCTGGGATAAGAAAGACGTTTCCTTTTTTTTTTTTTTTTTAAGTTTTTGTCTGTTGATCTTTATCCAGATCTGGTACAGATGAAAACTTGAAAGCGAAGGCCGCGAGAGAGGCAAACGCACGCACACACACACACCAGGTTTCAAATAATTGAGTGTAAAATCGGGGAGAAAAACGGCAGTATTGAATGTTCAATGACCCTCCTAGGAACTGGTGAGTGAAGGGGAAAAGAAAAAAAAACCAAATATATTTAAGGAACCTTTTGAGGAGTTTGCATCCAATGTTCATCGGTGCCTAACCAAAGGAGAAAAGACTCAGCCAATACAACCTCGTGCCATGCGCAATTTTTATGAAACGGGCGCCTGCTTATAGCAAAGATCAGAAAGGAATCTGTCGAAGGCGAACACAGGATCCAACTGAAGTTTTGGGTGAAGTTTGCGCATTTTCGGCTGCTGGAAAAGAAAAATTCAAAATATCGCCCCTGATTAAAAGAAACTTGCTTCTGAAGTCGGTGAAGAGGCTTTTTTTGGGGTGGGGGCGTCCAAAAAAGACAACCCCTTTGGGGAAAACCTCACATTTACTTGAGAAAAACTGAGAATTAAGAAGCCAAAGGATGGAGGCGCATGTGCTGGCCGCAGAGGAAGCTCGGGGGGAGACGGAGCCCGCTGAATCTGCCCCCCCTGAGCCCACGGAGGCCGGCCTGGGTGGCCAGGAGGTGGTTGCTTCTGATCTCCCTGCAGGGGCTGCCCAAGAGACCCCAGCCCACCTCGTCCAGGATGGTGCCCAAAGCGTCCCGCAGAAAGACGAGGGCCGGGTTTCCTCTGAAGAAGCGGCTGAAGGGGGGCGAAAGGAAGGACCCCCGTCCCCGAGTGAGGAGGCCTCCCCACTGCCAGCCCCTCCGGTGCCCGCCGGCTGCAGCCCAGCTGAGGATGCCCCCAAGCCACGCCCGTCTCCAGCCAGCCAGCCCAAGGCGCCGGACTTCTACTGCGTGAAGTGGATCACCTGGAAGGGCGAGAGGACACCGGTCATCATGCAGAGCGAAAACGGCCCCTGCCCGCTGCTGGCCATCATGAACATCCTCTTTCTGCAGTGGAAGGTAGAAGGGGCCACGGGGAGGGGGTCCCCAGCCCGGCTGCCCCAGCCTGGAGCAGGCCGGAGAAGCAGGGGGCCTCAATTTTTCACTCCCCCAGGTGAAGCTGCCTGCCCAGAAGGAAGTGGTCACCTCGGACGAGCTGATGGCTTATCTCGGTAAGGAACCACCTCTCCCCTCCTAGGCAGAGCGGGGGGGCCCTACCCACCTCCTTCCGTCCCTTTCTTCCCCCACCCCCACCTCGGCGCCACAATCCTACGAGGTAGGGCCAGCGTAGAGCGCGCCCAAGGTTGTCGCCTTCTGCTGGCAGAATAATCCTGTGGGCTCAAAAGCTAAACCCGACAGGCGTTTGAACAGGACGGGATAAGGTCTCCTGCTGGAGGAGGGGGAGGTCAGATTAGAAGACCTCTGGGGTCCCTTCCAGCCCTGGGATATTCTGGGTGCTGTGTGTTCTCTCCTCCCTGCTGCCAGTGGGAGGTCCTGCCTGACTGAGAGGGTCTCTGCCCCCCCTTTCTGCCCCTGCAGGGGATTGCCTCCTGTCCATCAAGCCTCAGGACCAAGCGGAGGCCGTCCAGCTCAACTTCCAGCAGGTGAGCGGGGTGGCTTCGGCTCTCTGCAGCTGGCATCCAAAATGGCGCCAGGGCCCTTCGGGAAAACGTCCGTTTTTTTCTTCCCGGGCAGAACGTCAATGACGCCATGACGGTCCTTTCCAAGCTGTCCACGGGGCTGGACGTCAACGTGAGGTTCACGGGGGTCTCGGATTTCGAATACACCCCCGAGTGCATCGTTTTCGACCTCCTGAACGTCCCCCTTTATCACGGCTGGCTGGTGGATCCCCAGGTGGGTGGCTCTGCTCCCCTGGTGTTGGGTTTGGGGGCCAGAGCGGTGGGGAGGGGCGAGATGAAATTACACCACACAGCCAGAGACCTCGGCCTAAATTAGAATTTGGCCCCTTGAAGAGGTCTGGACTTCAACTCCCAAGAATCCCTCAGCCAGCAGCTCTGGGAGTTGGAAGTCCAGACCTGGCTGGGGAATTCTGGGAGTTGAAGTCCAGACCTGGCTGGGGAATTCTGGGAGTTGAAGTCCAGACCTCTTACAGATGACCAAAGTTGAGAAAACTGGCTTAGTTAGCCCTTAATCCGCTGTTTCAACAGTGGCCTAGCTAGCCTGCTGTGCAGTCCTGCTACTCTCCTCCGATGGGTAGACTGCAGGCTTCACTTAACAGATAATCAGAGTTGGAAAGGACCTTGTAGGTCATCTAGTCCAACCCCCCCTTAGTTCAGGGGAGAAAAATCAAGCTATTAGTCCTGGAGAAATTTGGATATCTGTGCGAGGTTGGCCTTTTGCAAGGCTCAAAACCACAAGAGGGAAGTGTAAACATCCTGTTTTTAAATCCGTTCTTGTGGCCTCTCTCAAAACTGTAGGCAGTTCCGTTTCCCCCGCTCCCTGACACCAACAACACCCCTGCAGAGTAGCACTGCAGCACAGAAATATAAACCCAGTTCTTGCTGTGCCCACTCCTGCCTGCACCCCGGTTTTAGGGTGGGCGTTTCTCTCCTCTCCTCCCCAGATTCCCGAGGTGGCCGGAGCTGTCAGCAAACTGAGCTACAACCAGCTGGTGGAAAAAATTATCACTTGTAAACACTCTAGTGACCCAAACTTGGTGACGGAAGGTAACGTTGGAGTGGAGGGGGCTATGCACAAACCATCCTTTTCAAATTTGGGGGGGGCTCTTTGGGGGCATTGCTAATAGCTGGCAGGCCTGGGAAGGTGGCTTAGAAGCCACTAAACCCGGGGGGGGTCCATCCGTGGCAATTTTAAGCCTTGTGGACTTCTATTCCCAGAATTCTGGGAGTTGAAGTCCACTAGTCTTACACTTGGCTGGGGAATTCTGGGAGTTGAAGTGCACAAGGCTTAAAAGTTGCCCAGACTGGCCACCCCTGATGTAAAAGGATACATGGGCTTGTTTGTCCTCCCTCCCTCCATCTTCCCCCCCCCGCCAGGCCTAATTGCAGAACAATTTTTGGAGTCCACAGCATCGCAGCTGACCTACCACGGTCTCTGCGAACTGACCTCCACCGTCAAGGAAGGCGAACTGAGCGTTTTCTTCCGAAACAACCACTTCAGTGCCATGATCAAGCACAAGGTACTTCCTTCCCTTGGGGAGTTGGGGTGACTGACGGTGGCTGGGGCTCCAAAGCTTATTTGCCACGTAATTGTTCCTGACAAATAAACATAATTATGACAACACCCCACTGAGTTTGTTCCTCTTTGCGGTTTGTTCTTTTAAAACGCATCAATTTCTTGCCCTTTCTTGTGAAGAAGGGCTTCACCTCTGCTAGGGTTTCATGCCAACGTTTATCCTTTTTATCCTTTTTATCCTTTAATTGTTTTATATTGTCATTTTTGCCTTATAAAGCCTCCTCCAGTTGCTTGAAGATGGGATGGACGGCATGTCGATTGAACCAAAACAAATACTTTAAATCTTTTAGCTAGAACTTGTCGGTTTTTGTAATAATGTGATTTTTCAACATAGTGATGGTTTTATTTTAATGTGGTGAGCTGGTCAGAGTCGCCTTGTGGCGAAATGAGCAGCAAGTAGATTTGGAAAGGAAGGAAGGAAGGAGGGAAGGAAGGAAGGAAAGAAAAGGAAGGAAGGGAAAGGAGAGGGATAGAGGGAGGGGAGAAGGAAGAAAGGCAGGAAGGAAAAGAGAAAGGGAAGGAAGGAAGGAAGCAAGGGAGAAAAGAAGGAAAGAAAGGAAAGATAGATAGATAGATAGATAGATAGATAGATAGATAGATAGATAGATAGATAGATAGATAGATAGATTAGAAAACTAAAGCAACGTGAGGTTTGGCTTCACTGGGGTGAAAATGCAGGATAAATAAATGGAATAACTGGTTGGCACAACCATTTCTACGCTGCGTGCCCAAACGGGTCCTTTTGGCCTCTCTTCCTGCAAACTACATCCTGGGGTCTCCGGTCCGTCCACCCCCTTCCCTCATTTCCCGCCTCCTTTCTTTCCCTCTGGGCTCCAGAGCCACCTCTACCTGCTGGTGACCGACCAGGGTTTCCTGAACGAAGACCAGGTCACCTGGGAGAGCCTCCACAACGTGGATGGGGACAGCTGCTTCTGCGACGCCGAATTCCGCCTGAGCCACACGCTGGGCAAGGAGGCCGCAGGGGGCTCCCCGGTGGACCAGAGGCAGGTGGACCAGGTATGCCAGGGGCGGGGAAGGGGGGGAGGGGAGCCCTGGCAGAGGGGCCCAGCGGGGAAGGGCACCTGCGTATCGTCTTCCCTGGTGGGATGGCTGCAAGGGCAGGGACCTTGGGAAGAACGGGGGCGGGGGGGGGGGCTCTAGCAAAACGAAACCCCAAAAGGCAAGCCTTTTTTCGCCACCTGGCTGACATATGCAGGGATTGGCAAGGTGGGGGGGGGGGAATGCCCCCTCCGTTCCTGGGAACTGGAGTTCTGCTGGGTGGATTTGCCTCAAGGACACAACGCCAGGGAGAGGGATAATCGCTGCTGGGGTCTCCAGCCTCTGGAGGGGCTCCGAAAGGAGAAGGCGGCTTTAAGGCACGGGTTTTTTTTGGGGGGGGGGTCTCGGTCCTCCTGGCCCCCAGCCTCTTGAAGCCTTAAGGCAGTGGCTGGGTTGAAGAATGCAGACTGTTTGGGGAGCAGGAGAAGCCCCCGCTGAGGATGTTGGGTGGGATTCGGGCTTCGGGGGTCTCCAATTTGAGCCTGGCGGACTTCCACTCCCAGAATCCCCAGCCAAAGTCTTCAAGCTGGCTGAGGGATTCTGGGAGTGGAAGTCGACAAAAGTCCTCAAGCTGCCATGTTTGGAGAGCCCTGGCCTGGGGTGCGGATAGGAAACAGGTAGCCTTTCTGACCCTTCCCCGTTTTCTTCTCCTCCCCCCCCGCGCCCCCCCAGGACTATATGATTGCCTTGTGCCTCCAACGCCAGCAAGGGGCCCCCGTCATGAGCGACCTGGAGCTGGCACAGCAGCTGCAGCAGGAGGAGTACCAGCAGACCCCGCCGGCACCCAGCCCCTTGCCCTCCCCAGCACAGGTACGGAGGGACCCCCACCTGGGCCCGCCTCGGGAGGTAATTCTACCCCCTCCCCAATTAACCCCTCTTTGCTCTCCTACCCTTAGGGGAGAAGCCCCCCACCTCCCCGCCCCGCCGGAGAGCGCAGGCCGCGCCAGAAGGTGGACACGGACTGCACCGTCCTCTGAGGCCAGCCTGGCAGGAGCCCCACGAGGGCCCCCCCCTTTTCCTTCCAGGGCCTGCAGCTGAGAAGGACACGCCCCCCTCCCCTCAATTTGCTTCAGGGGCACGTCGGATGAGGGTCTCCTGCAGCACCCCAAAGGCTTCAGAACCTGGGGGGGCCGGGGAATGGCTCTCTTTCGGAAAAAAAACCGCACACAGGAGGGGGGGGCTGGATTTACTTCTCCCACCGGGGTGGGGGCGGGGTCTACGAGGGAAAGGGGACAGGGAAGCTAAGAGGGGAGTCAGCTGGGCTCCCCACGAAGGTTGGGCCCATTTATGGGGAGGGTCTCCCATGGGATTCCTGTTTCTTGTTTTGGGGTGGGACACAAAGGGCCGCTCCGGTTGGAGAAACTGAGTCCCGGCCTGGAAAGGCTGAGCCTTCGGATGGGGGGGGGGGGGGCGCACTTCTCTGGCACCCCAGATTGGGGCATCGCCAAAGCCCCCGAGGGCCCCACGTGTGCCCAGGCGAGGGCCCGCTTGCAAAGTAACCCCCCCCCCCCGGATCAATCCAAGCGGTGCAGTTTTTCACCCGATGGGAAAATGGATTCTTTTGCCAAAAGCACCTTTTGAGGGGGGGTGTTTAAACACTGGTTTTTTTCACCTTCTCAAAGCCCCCCCCCCCCCGAAGCGATGCAGAAACTCCTCGGGTGATGCAGTCCAAACGAAGTCTCTCTCTCTCTTTCTCTCTCTCCCTTTTTCTTTCTCTCTTTTGTTCTCTCTTTCTTTCTCTCTTTCCCTTTCTCTCTCTCTTTTTCTCTCTCTCTCTTTCCCTTTCTCTCTTTTTCTCTTTCTCTTTCTTTTCTCTCTCTTTCTCTTTATTTCTCTTCCTCTCTTCTTCTTTGTCTTTTTCTTTCTCTTTCTTTTTTTCTGTCTTTCTCTCTCTCTCTCCCCTTTTCCTGGTTTTTGAGGGCTAAGACCGGACTCCATTCTAATATCGCTTAAGCCTCCGTTTTGAGTCGATTAATCGATGAAACCTGCCTCTGTTTACATTGGAATAAATAAAGCTAGTCCTTCTGAAGGCGAGGGGCGTGTGTTTTTTTGAACCCTGGATAATCCACTCGGTTGAGACGGAGCCAAAGAGACGGTTCTGGTTGTTTGTTTTATTTTTACGAGCAACATTTTCAGTTCCGGGGAAGGGGAAGACCGGATTTTGGACAGGGGGGAGGAGAGGAAGGATGTGCGGGTTGCACAGGCATATGGGGTGGGGCTGTGGCTGATGGGTTGCGGTCCCTTGATGGGAGAAAATGGGGCTGAAGGAAAAGGTGGCGGAGCTGCTGAGGTGGGGATGTCAAATCTTTTTCTAGAAATCTAAGCCCCCCCCTAAAATGCCATCAGACTGAAGCTGCATCCGCTCCAGAGTCCGATTTCCCAAACTGGCCAATGAGAGGCCCATCAGCGTTTCCCGGCAGCTACTCAGAGGTAGATTGCTCCTGATGCTGGAGGGTTTTTTTTGCTACTTATTATTATCCCCCACTTTTTAAACTTTGACCCAAGTTTCGTTGCAAATACCTGACAAATCTCGCAGGTCTCTAAATGCCCCCACAGACACCTCCCAGCCCCCTGGAAAGCATCAGAAGAATTTGGGCTGGGGGAGAGGCGGCAACCCGTCGAACCGGTCAGGCTGAATTCCGGAGCTGCCTTCCTTTGCAACTTCGACTGCGCTGGAAGGGAAAAGTGGGAGGGGTTTTTTTTCCCCTCAAGGTAGACTGCCTCTGGGTGGGGAGGGTCCTCGCAGCCGGCAGCGTGTCTCACAGATCTTCCGCCTTGCACAAGCCGAGCAAAGCCGCCTGGTGTTCGTTGGGGGTTTCCGCCTGGGGAAGGAAGTTGGGAGGGGGGGCAAGGGGGAGAGTTTGGGGTAAACCCGTCTGGAAATAAAGGGGTCGGTCCAGGAAAGGGGTGCTTAATTCCCACTGGGAGTGGGGGCGCATTTTCTGCCTGCCTGTATCTTCCGGATACTTTTGCAGTGAAGATACTTTTCTGGGCCCCAAATTCTAACTCGCAGATAGACTGCTCCTACAGATGGAGGCTCGGTTCGTAGTGAGCCGGTCTGTATAGGGAATGGACAAGGCCGCATAAAATTGGGCTGCTCGACCGAGAAGCTTTGAGGCCAGCCTACCTCGTAAGAACGTCCTGAGGATAAATTGGAGGGTATCATGGCTGGGGGTGGGGGGGTGGGGGTGGGGGTCCTTCCTACAGTCCTTGGGGGCCACTTGGGGTCTGTAACGTGCCCTTGAACACCCCCACCCTCCAACAATGCTACCTGGGGCTTTACCTGAATGAAGGAGTAGAGTGAGATCCCGTAGCGCCTCTTGAACTCGGTGCGGATGCTCAGGAGGTCCGTCTCGCTGCGGGAGACCATGATTCGAACGGCCGTCCGGGGGTCGCGTCCTGCTTCCTGGGAGGAGATGACAAGTTCGCCTTTGGAAAGTTGTACGCCACCCTGCGTGGCTTTGAAACGGGACCGGGTGGCAAATAAATGTCATTTTAAAAAAAATCATTGAAAAAGCTGGGAAGCTGTGCAGAGCAGGACTTGAACTCGCTTCTTTGCCCCACACCCTGATGGACGGTGGGGTGGGCACCATAAGGGGAGACCCTCACCTTAACGGCCGAGTGTAGCTTGCTGGCAAAATACAGCGGTGTGTTTCTCAGGAGGGAAACTGCAAGAGAGATTTTACAAAAATCAATAATAATAATTACAATTATTTTCCCCCCTGTTGTTCTGCTCCCTTCTTATTTCTGGTCTGAAACGCTGCAAGGGAGGGAGCTGCACAAGTTGGATTTCTGCCTGACAAAGCACTCGCCGATAGAGAGGGGAAGGCAGGACGGTGAAGCCAAACAGATCCGGTTTGAAACTGGCTCATCAGCTTGCAAACTTCCCAAGCCCAATTTATGCTAATTGTTCCCTGCTTAGCTCGTTGGAGGAGGAGGAAGAAACGGATTTAACTGTCAAGAGATCAAGTCCCATAAAAGCCGTGCTTGAAATAGCATCAAGAGGGCTAGCAACTTGGATTTTTAGAAGCAAAGGAAACGAAGGCTCTTGGATCTTATTCCGGGTGTTCTCAGCCCAGGCTGTGCGAAACAAGACACAACTGAGGTTGAGAGGGCTCTTGGGCATGTACAGAAAGCACCGCTGGAACTATCCTCATCTCCCCGCCCCCCGTCCCCAATTTAATCCAGACTAAAAAGGGGGCCTTCCAAACACCCTGCATTTGGGCTGCACCTACCCAGCGTTAAACCTGCTTCTCGGAAGTTTTCCCGGAAATGTTTCTCCATGGTTTGCTCGACTGAGATTCCGGTCGTCTCTTGGTACCAGCTGAACACTGGAAGAACGCCAAGGGGAAAAAAAGGGGAGTTTAAAATGAAATTATTGGGAGAACGCTGCCCACTTTGTGCCCTGGAATTTCCTTTAGCTTTGGAACAGGGACTCTGCCAGGGTTGCAGTGGGAAGCCTCCCCGGTCCGGTCTGGCCCGAAAAATTAGCACGTTTGGGGATGCCAGCGTGGTGAAACACGACCGGCCGCCTGGCACGGGGTTGTCCTTGCCTCTCCTCAAATGTTCGGGGCTGCGTTGAGCCAGGATCCGGACCCACTCGCTCCCCTCCGGGTGTTCAGCGTCCCCACCGGTGGCTGCATCAACCAGAGCCTGTGGGAAGGAAGCCCAGGTGTTTGGGGGAGGCTGGAAATGGGCACCCAGAGGGACCCCGGTTGCTGGCCCTCCCCATCCCAGCGTGGAGGCACCCCGAAGTCCCCATCTCACCTTCGAATCTTGCCGTATCAAGACGTAATCGATCATCCCCGAATAGAGTTCCCGCTGGCCCTGTGGAGAAGGACGGCGTGAAAAAGTTGAGAGACTTCGCCGCGAAATAGACATTCTTTTCCTAAACAGTGCCAGGTGCGGATTTGGGCCAAAGAGTTTGGACTTTAAAAGGAGAAGATGTAGAGAGCGTTGAATTTTAGGAAAGCACCCCACTTCTCTGGGGTTCTTGCATTGCATTGCATTGATTTCATAGTTTTGTAAATGTTCCTTATGTTAGGGTTGGTATGTTATGTTAATTTTATTTTACACTTTCATAAATGATATGACGTGAGATATATTTATTATGTGATATTTATTATATTACTTTCATTTATTTCATTTTATACTGTTATATGACATTGTAGTATATTTTATATTTTATTCATTTTATTTTAGTTTAATTTTATTTATTACCTTGACCAGGGCGAGAAGAAGGTCTCTAAAACCACCGGTGGTGCCACAAGCGATGTCCTTTTCCAAGTCTGATTTGAAATCTGTACAGGGGAAAGAAGGGAGAAGGATGGAGTTTTAGCCCTGCATACCTGAGCAAGGTGTGCTTCCCTTCCTGAGAAAATGCTCCGAGATAGACTGCTCTTGCCCAAGGGAGCTCCGCAATATAACCTCAGGAAAGAGACGTTCTTGAGTGTCTCAAATAATTTAGGTGTTGTGTATGATTGACAGAGTGGTCCTTTCTGAAAGTCTAGGGCAGGCATTAATTACGTTTTTCTTAGTCTACACCAGGGGTGTCCAACTTTGGCCACTTTAAGACATGTGGACTTCAACTCCCAGAATTCCCCAGGCAGCCCAGTTGGCTGTGCTGGGAGTTGAAGTCCACACGTCTTAAAATAGCCAAAGTTGGACACCCCTGGTCTATATGAATGCTCAACAAAATAAAAAAAAACTTTAAAAGTCAAAGCTCACAGTTGTTATCATGTTTTGGGGAGTTCCGCAGGCACGAAAATTTTTTTACCCTGTTTATAATAAGCCAGGATGTCTTGAAGCTGTTTTGCCGTTCGAGTGGAGATAATTTCAATCAAGGTTTCCACCTCCAGACCCTGGAAAGGAAATGTGACCCAGGTTAGGAAAGGACAACTGCCGACTTTGCAAGGTGTGGGCCTGTGTTTGTCCCTGTCCATTTTGCAGGCTTTTTAGTTGGGTTGGATTAAACTTCCGCTAATCTTCCTTGGTCCGACTGCAATGCTCCTCTCAAGTGTGGCTGTGTCTTCACACATTCCTGTATTCATTTATTAAATCATTACATTAAATTATGAAATGAAATTACTATGCATGGGAAGCGCCCTTAAAAATAGCTGGGAATTAAAAAAACAACAACTATCTAATTCCTCCCCAACCCTTTTTAAAATGGAGGAAACACTTTTTAAAAATGGTTGTTCGTGAAAGTTTGTTGCGGGGGGTGGGTGAGAGGAGAGACTTCCAAGACCTGGATCCCCAACCAATTCACCCCACACACATTTTAAAACCAGGTGTATAATCCGATCCACATTGTGTTAAGAATTGGGGGGGGTTGTTCCTTGGCAGAAATGGGGTGCTTGTCTGTGGAAGGGGCTACCTGCAATCCCGCCTGGATCTCCAGGGCATCGGTTTGAGCCGCCGGACGGAGCAAAGCCCCGATAATAATCTGGAACTGGCTGGGGAAGACGGCCTCCAGAGTTTTCAGCAGCCCCTAAAAAGAGAGAGAAGACAACGATAAATTAGGGGAAACCCCACTCCCAATGGAGCATATATATATATATAAATATATATATATATGTTTTCTTAAGTTTTCGTGGGTACTTGCATGTATGGAATTCAGCTTTGTTCGGGTATTTTCCCACATCATTATTTTATATATATATGTGTGTGTGTGTGTGTGTGTGTGTGTGTGTGTGTGTATATATATATATATATATATATAC